TTAATCCTAATTTAAAATTTATTTTATTTTAAAAATATGATTTTTTTTTCAAAACAAGTCATTTGTTTATAGACCAGCATTATATTTTAATTGCATTTTAATATTTTTCGTCATCATGGATACGTTAAAAATTTAAGTAATTATGGAATATGTGTACTTCATACCAGCAACGTTTACGGAGCGAATACTACAAACGATCGTACCACCTGTTATTAGTTTGCCCGCTTTGGTTCTGATAATTTCGACCTGAAAAATGAAACCTGTGGTCGTCCCAAATTTTTAGTCAACGATGATGAAATATAGACAATTGTGTTAGCTGATGATACTCAATCTACGGCTAGATTAGCAACAGCTTTCGACTCTAGCATATAACAATATTGGTCCATTTGACTCATATTGGCAAGGTAAAAAGGTTGACAAATAGGTGCCCTACAAACTCAATGATCGTCAGCGCGAAGTACGCGTTGAGACGTGCCTCTAGAAAAGTGGTGGTCACTCTTTGGTGGTCTAGCGCTGGTGTAAGTCATCACAGCTTCTTACCAAACGGAATCAGCATTACTGATGATATTTACTGTGCAAAACTGAGCAAAATGATAGAGAAGCTCGCACGTCTCCAACCAGATTTCGTCAATCGCTCATCCCCGCTTCTCTTGCACGACAACGTGCAATACGCTAAAAGTCTGATATATTGATAAACTCTAAAATTCAATTTACTATGGAGTTAGAGGCAAATAATTCCTTACCTTTCCTAGATGTGTTAGTCATCCGAAATCCTAACAACACCATAGGTCACACTGTGTATAGAAAAAAGACTATACAAACCGATATTTAAACGGTGAATCTCATCACCATCCTTCACGAGCTACCGTGGGCAAATCTTTGTTACAGAGAGCACGAGGGATCTGTGACTGCAAACACCTGGCCGCCGAGCTTCAGCACGTCAAGCAAGTTCTGCACGACAACAAGCTTCAGGTCTCGTGCCTACGTCACAGTGACCGAGTGAAGCCGGCCACAGTCGAGCGTGTGTCTGATCGAATCAATAACGAATCAAAATGCAGATGCATTGTCACCCGTGAGGACTAATATGGAATGGCCCGTTTCCAGTAAAAGTTCTCCCTTTCTTTACACTCACCATACGAAACACAGCAACATTAACCTGCTATTTTACGCTAATATTCAGTGAGAACGTGGTCCTTCACCTGCCTAGCCGACCCATTCGTGCTACAACTATACTACTAGTGTAGTTGTAGCTTGGCTCTACCACGTTTAATTTTTTTATGTATTAGCTCTTATGTTGCCGAGCTCTATTTGGTTATGTGTTCATAATATTAAGAGTTATGTCTTTTTTATGTAAATACTATTATTTTGCAAGTTTTTAACATATCCCCACCAACGCCAACCTCTGGTAGCCCCCTTTGGAATAAATTACGTCTCCCCTCTCCAAGAATCAGAACATAAAAATGACTTCTCACGCTATGCAGATGATTGGAATAGATGATCTATTGGAATTGCCAGTTTTTCCAGTCCCCTGCGGCTGATCTAGCGTACAGCTTCGTCACAAACCATGTTGCGACGGTAAGGATATAGTAAAACTAACGCAAAATAATAACATCAATGTGGCTAGGAAAAATAAAAATAAAATATTGCAGAAAAAGCTATCCGAAAAAGTTGAAACTATTTATGCGTTATTTATGGGTTTTAAAGGAAATCTGTCTACACCTTTATCACGTTTGAAATGGAAATACTAAAGTCGAATTAGCCCTGTTTCCAGGTTCACAGAGGAAGACTCACAACTATGATTTTAAACTGACTCCAGACCTAAATTTCTAAAGCAAACATAATGGTATTCTATATTAATACAATTAACAGTGTTATATTAAATGTCAGCTTTTACCGGCGATGCGCAGAACTAAAAACCTGCAGATACATAAAAGTGGCATTTGGGAAAGCATTAAGGTAAAGAAATTTAAAGCGTTGCGTTTACGAGACCAAAAACATTTTTCACTTTTTCGACTTCATACAAAAGTCTTTTTTATTATTTATGCCTATCCTATATATATATATATATATATATATATATATATATATATATATATATATATATATATATATATATATATATATATATATATAGTTCAGGGAGTTATTAGCATAAAAGTTAAAGTTCAGTCCCGTCACTCCACTCTCTTAGCTCACAGTAATATTAATTATCTCCTCTCGCCTGGAATACATGGTGCTCTGGTGTTTTGTGATTGTATTAGTGCTCTCAATGTGGTGCGCGAAGCTCGGCGACCCGGGAGATAGCAGTCTCAGGGTGAAGTGTGTCGGATGCTTATTGTGGTGCAAAGAGTGTTTTATGCGTAACTCTTCTTCCTGGCTTCCTGGTAACCGGCAGCAATAAGTAGAGTGAAACACACCCGCCGCCTCAGAGGCGGCCATCGATTTTAATGTTTGTGTTGTACACCCTAGCGTTCCAGTGCGGTATGTGTATAGGTTTGCTTAATAAACTAAGCAAACATGTAAACATTTTTGCTTGGTAAACAGCACAGTAAACATTTGTGCTCATATTAGCATAGTTTACAATATGGCGTCGTTTTCAAACGACGAACTCACCTACTTTCTGCGTTGAGCATTCTCTGACCCATTTCCGCTGTGTTTCTAGCACAGGGTACCTAATGCTAAGCCGATAGTCCATTAGGAAAACGCCTTCTCTTTTTGTTCTGCTCCTGTGTCACTAGTTTCGTTCGCGTCAGTGTACGACGCTGCGTCCCCCGCTCCCTTCGTGATGTCCACCCGCGACCCCTCTCCGGTCTTCTCGAATGCTGAGTCAAGATACCGAGACGCGTGCCCTCTCCAAGCTCGAAGACGAAGGCTCCGCCCTCGTTCAGGGCATAAAGTGCAAACGCGCAGCCCCTAAAAAGGCAGCCGGGTCAACTCATCTCCCTCGTCCCTCACGTGGCGCGCGCTCATCTCCCCAAGCCCGCAGCCAATCCCGCAGCGAATGAGTTCCCTGCTGAACGTAGGGAAAAGCCTCCGCCACCCATCGTCATCCAAGACAAAACCGAATGGAACAATCTTTCCAACTGGTTAAATTCAAAAAAGATCTACTGCTCAAAACTGTGCAAAACGCCGTTCAGGGATCCGCATGTTCGTGATCTCGACTAAAGAATTCCGTAGCGTGACTAATCACCTGCGTGCCCAGGAAATTAATTTCCACACTTACGCCCTAAAATAGGAGTGCAATCTTCGTGTGGTCATCCGAGGACTCCCCAAAGAGCTCAAGACCGTACACATCTTGGACGACCTCTAGGACCGAAATCTCCCAGTAAATGAAGTGCAAAGAATGTACCACCAGACGGTCGGATGGAGGTCAAAATCGAGTCTACGACCTCCCAGGGCTTAGACACGCACCTCTCTTAAGGCTGGAGTCCCTCAAGCCTCTGTCCATTTCCCACTCATCACACTTTTCACGAGTGATACCCCTAAAGACACAGTAGTTAACACTGCTCTTTTTGCTGATAAGACGGTACTCTTCATCACCCTTCACAACAAAAGAATTCTTACCAAGATCCAAACAGTCACCACCCGCTTAGATGATTGGTTCCGCTTATGGAGAATCGAAGTGAATCGCGAGGAAAAGTGTAGCAATATACTTTCAAAATACCCCCTCTCTCAAACGTAAAAACAAAAAATCCCAGGAAATCGATAAGTATGATCATCCTGTTCGGCCGCCAGATCCCCTGCACATACTGTCAACCCCCGACGATCCTTGAATATTTCAAAGAAATGTCTCAACGCTACATTGAGACGGCCTAGAAAATATCCCGACCATATATAATACCCGGTAGTGGTAAACGCAGCCACCTATGCTCCGACTCCAAAAGTTTCTGAAAGTATCTGGAGCCCCCGTAACGTTTTAATCGAACCCCCTGTTTTGCTTTCCGACGAACCAAATGTCGCTGGCCACACATGAACACTACATATTCCCCTAGTTCAAACAGCACGTCAGCATTTAAAATCGCAATTAATAAATTTATTGGTGCCGGCGGGGGTCGAACCCGGATTGCTTGCGTATTGCGAAATTTACAGCGAGCGCTTAGCCTCTGAGCTACCACGGCTTTCCTGAGCCACCGCGGCTTATTTTCATGCTAATAGCAAATAACGCATGAGCTTAATAGAAGTATTAATTTTATATAACCGACGAATACTTCTATTTTTTCTCAGATATTGTATTTTAGCCGAATTTAAAAAAGGAGGAGTAGCTTGATTCGACTGTATGCTTTTTATTTATGCCATGCGCTATATTTGTCTAATTTTAATTGATTTATATGTTTGATGTTGTGCTTTAGGAGTGGTTCCATATAAATTTGGATTTAGAGGACATTCTATTTATTATCTCAAGGAAGCTTAAATAATGCCAAGCCAAGCCAATTTAAATAATTATTACGGTTTACTTAAGCCATTTAGAAATATATGAATTGGTATTATGAATGTGAATAAATTTGAATGAAATAATTATATAAAAATAATGTTGGAACTGACGCTGAATGCTGAGAGGATGAAAATCGTAACACGCTTATTCAGAAATCATCTCCTGGAATTAAAGAAATATAAAGTGTGCCACCATTTATTCAGTTCCAATAACGTTTAAAAGATCTTATTTCTAACATTTATTTTAATATCACAGTTTCATCATTAAAATGTCTATTCTTAGAGTGATATTATTAAATTACTGAATCAAAAACCGTTTCGACATTAATACAATAATTATGAAAAAAAAATAGTTACGATTATAATAATTAATTAAAGTGCAATGATTACTTATTAATAAATGATATTTATGTGAACATCGGAATTATTACACACTTATAATACTCGTCAACAAAATATATAAACATATTATGTAATTACTATTGTCTTTTATAAACATTTGACTAAATTTATTCTTCTAACTAATTTTCTTTTCGTGCAAAATAATTTACTTAGCGCTCTATACTTTGCTACCTGAAAAAAAGTATTTTCATTGGTATTATAAAAAAGTTGCAAAGAGCATAATGTATCGTAAACTTATAAAAGTATTTCTATTACCTTGGATACGCGGCATGCAGATCAGGATGTACAGGCACATGAGTAGTATGAAGTGTATGCGGTGACATAGCAGCTGCATTAATAGCTCTTATTCGCGCACGTAACCTTTCATACTGTTCGGGTTGATATTGTGCGGCGATCGTCACTGTGCTGCCTGAATACTGCTATAAATGTAAAATTATTGTAAGTTTTTGTTAATTTAATATTTATCAACCACAGTGCATTAACTTCAATGTACCTTAAGAGCAGCCGCAGCTTGTTCATGTGTTGCCCGTGAAAGATCGTGTCCATCAACACTTAATATGCGATCTCCTCTGTAAAGTATTCCGTAAGCTGATCCGCCAACAGACACACCAGATACAAATACTCCATATGTGTCTTCTTCCATTCCAACACATTCTTCAGCATTTCCTCCTAATCCTCCAACAATATCCATCCCCAAACGTGAACCAGTACGAACCAGCCGTACCATTCGAACACATCTGAATAAAACAAAAGTATTTTGTGTACAAGGATTACGATTTATACGAGGTGTAGCCACTTTGCAGCAGTGTTGTGGTTGTAACGAGTATGGTTTGGCTCAACTGGATAAGGACACACTCTTTACGGAATACCAGCGTAAAATAGCAGTGAGTGTAAAACCGCAGATTTTTTAACTGAAAACGATGCATTCGTCTTAGTTCTCAGGAGTGGCAACGAATCTACATTTTGATTCCAAGATAGCATTTAATGCCTACATTGCTATCAGATGAACTGTATGCTTATTATATAAAAATATGATAACTATTTGTATCAGATACCTACCCATACTTACTGTGTAGTAACGCCGTAAGGGAAACCATCACCCCATTTCGTGATTCCTTCCTTCCGATAGATATTACCATCTTGTTGACAACGGAAGTAAAATACCTAATATAATATATAGATAACTAGAAAATTAGTATGTTGTTGTATTAATTTAGGATTCAAAGTGGAATTACACGTGACTATCTCCGACATGCACCTTCACGTACTGCACTGCTAGTTGATGGCTTACATTTTTAAAATACAACAATAACGATAAATAACGAAAAAATGATGTACAAATATTTCATAGATCCCCCATAACTAGGGCGAAACATTACTAGTGCGAGGTTGTCAGATTTGCGACCAACACTAGTTGGTATAAAATAAAATAATCTGTGATTATTATTCCGGGCATACTAATGTCCGGAATGGTAATCACAGATTATTTTTCCAGTAAATTCATTTCTGGTACCCAGAAAGTGCATTAATGAAGTAAAACATAAAATCTTTAATGTTAAATATTGATAGAAATATGAAATCACAAAATTAGAAATTCATACTATATGTGCAAAAATATCTTTATCAGGAAGAGAATAGAATTTTTGGCACAATTTCAAGCCAGAAACACTAACTACTCTTCTATGAGTATTTTAGTGTTTAGTGTACGTAAAGCGATTAATTTATCGTCGGATGGTTTGAATTTAAAACAGGGAATGAATTTCTAGTAATAAAAATATGTAATCACAAAATCATAAATCCATACTATATGTGCAAAATATCCTTATAAAAAGGAGAATAGAATTTTAGGCACAATTTCAAGCCTTGTTTAATTAGGCTACTAACTACTAACTAGTATTACTAGGCTACTAAACACTCTTCTATGAGTATTTTAGTGTTTAGTGTAAGTAAAGCGATTAATTTATCGTCTGATGGTGTTAATTTAATACAGATAATGAATTTCTAGTAATTTCATAATAATGTCCACCTGGCCGATTTTGGTCAAGCCAAGTCTCAATGAACGCTAGCTATCTGCACAGAATAAGATTATTCCCTCACTCTTACAGTCCAATGGGACGGCAATCCGATACGAAGAGATCAAGCTCAGGACATAAGGATTTACTTGCTTTCCGAGGCATGAGGTAAAACACAACCATCTAGACTTCGGGCTTTTGCTGAAAATTCCTTGACAGAAAACTACGAAATCTGGGTTCACATAAGCAATCGCGCTTACGATCAAAGAAGCGGTCAATAATTTTATATTTTTGCAATATATCGTCTATTCCACCACCATTATTTAACTTCAATACTACACAAAATTAATATTTGAAAATAAATGCCCAACATCTTAATAACAGCATTAGATCTCATGTGACGTATTGGAGTGAGGTTTCCTGTATTTAACGCACAAAATATGCGCAGGAAAGCCAAACTGGTTTGCTATCACTCGTGATCGTTACACTAAAATAATTTTAAGTAACCGATAAAACGTGAAGCAGCCGTGTATTTTTAAAACGGCTGACAATGAAGAGATGAACTTACAACCAAATATTGTATCTATACATAATTCAAATATGCAGATTTTCGGCTAAAATCTTTAAAAATAATTGTAGCATTTGATACTTTAAAAGAATAGGAAATGTTTTATAATTTGTACAATTATTTTGTAGAGGTATATTCTGAACAGTTAGCTACCGTGAGAAAATCTTAAATAAAAAAATTCGTTACGTGTCATATGTATACAGATTGGATTGTGATTGTGGTCTATCTTACGTAGAGCAAAAGAAGAACAGTGAAAATCCGCGTATAACATGTTCCTTTACGCGGGTTTTCATTGATCTTTTTGATACTTGTCGTCATTTGTTCTGTTAAGTTGTTCAGACTGCTAACTGCAGACTGCTGCATTCTTCTTTTTTTTGGGATAAAAATGAATCAGAAAATTGAATGTTTCGTATGGCAAGTGTAGAGAGAACCTTTTTACTGGAAATGAGGCATTTCATCTTAGTCCTCACGGGTGACAACGCATCTACATTTTGATTTGTAGTCGAGGATACATGTAGGTGTCTATAGGCCACAGCACCACTTACCATCAGGTGAACTGTGTGCTCGTTTGTCACCCTATCCTATTAAAAAAAGAATATATTATGTATAATTTAGTGCAAGATAAATTTCCAAAAAATATATTATTATAATATTTTGTATCCTACTCTTCTGATTAACTCTCGAGCGTATTTATCCTTAACTAGGTTTTGTCCGCGACTTCGTCTGCGTGAAGTTCGGTTATATTATCATGTGAGAAAAAGAGTCTGCTAGTACAAGTCTCAATTATAACTGGATGTCGCGAGCAAAAGCTAGTAAACTACAAAACTTCTTTATACACAACATTTTTTTCGCTAATCTATTACTGTGTGCTAAAATGATCACTACTGGGCGAGCTTACGCGCGCACACACCACATAGAAAAACAATTTTTTTTCAAGTTTCAACCCGCAAGTTTTAATGTCTGCCCTTGTGATTTGTTTATGGTCGTTGCAAAGCGGACTTTGAGGGGAAACTGTATTCGTTTGAATTTAAAGAGAAGATCATTCGGGATCAAGGAAATTCTTGGTACAAATACAATTTCCCCTTACGCACATCCAATTATAATTGTCACTTCCACTACATTACGATGTAAAGCTTTTACTTTGAGTCTGGTTCCGTTGCACAGTTAAGGAGGTTTTAAATTTCGCAACAACATAATAGGAGTGCCTACGTGCAGAAAAAGCTTATGATGTGGAAGACCCGATGGTTTCAGTGAATTAAGAAATTTTACAGTGTAGTTAATTGCGTCATCTGTGTTGACCATAGAGTCTATTGACGTATACACTATTTTTTCTCCCTCAAAAGACGTTAACAGTATATCGTTAATTGTCGCTGCTTGGTCGTTTTTCGGGGTTAGTATGGCACGTTCACACAACGTTAATACAACTGTACACAAAGTATCAGGGATGGTTATTATTCCGCCATTTATCGGGTAATCACCGTTGCCGATTTTAAGTAGGAGATTCGCAAACCGACCAGCAGATTCTTTTTATTCTAAATCTACCCGCATATTTTTCAAGAGCTTGAGGATTTTAATTAGAGACCATAAAGTGGATCTTTTAAGTCACGCCTTAACTTTCTCTGCTCTAGTTACTTTTGGCACTACTGGTAGCTTCTGTCTAAAATCTCTAGCCAGCAATACTGTTACACCACCCATTAACTTCTTATTTCCTCTTATATCTTGTAGAGTTCTGTTTAAAGCCTCTACGCCACCCTTATGAGCCATGGTTATTTCATCCCACACTATCATTTTCGTATGTTTTAATACTTCAGCAAAATTACTTTGTTTCGATATATTACAAATGGGAGTATCAGCTGTTGTTAAATTGAGTGGTAACTTGAAGGTAGTGTGAGCAGTTCGTTCACGCTCAAGCAGTGTAGCTGCGATCTAAGATCGCCATAGCCAAAGCAATTGCAAATTTGTGAGGAATTTTTTGCCTGTTCCTTCGGGAGAAACTAAAAATAATATTCCACCCTAATTTGATTCAATTTTTGTGTTAATTTGATTATTAACTGCTTTTTTCATCATTAAGTGATCCTTCATTATTTTTAACTGTGTTTTTAATGATGCTAAGTCGTAACTTGTCTTTTAAAACTCTTTATTTTCAAATTGTTGTTCTTTGATTGGCTGAGGTAACCCATACGCTTTTAGTAGTAGACCACCCAACGCTAATACGGCATCTTCTATTACCGAAAAACATTTGTTAAATAACAATTCTGTTATGTGCTCTACATCCACATCTCCCTGTCTTTATAATTTCCTTTTAAAATCTTCCGAATAGGTATTCTTTGAATTTCTCCCAAGGGCTTAAGGGGTCTGATACTTGGCAGAACACTTAAATAATCGTAAAAAGATCCCGAATAATTTGCGGTGATTGGCAAAATGCTGATGCTGATCATCTTCAAGCGAGAGCTTTGCACGCTGATTGAAACGCAGAATATACATGACCATCTACAGTTTTTAACACTTTAAACGAAATCATTAAGAAGCATGCGAAGGTGATAGCATTCTGTATTGTTCGGATACGCAGTAGAAGCCCTGTCCAGTAGTGCTCTTTTTTGACCCCTGGCCAGCCTTAAACGTTTGCTCCTCTCCCTCTCCTTTGGAACTTCCTTTTCTCCCAAACGTAGTATGCAGGGTACTTCTAGGTAGAGCAATATTTTTGCGCAGTTATCTACTTTACACAAACCTAAAAAGGATAGGAGTGTGGTTGTTGGAGGACTATTCACTTTTGCACTCAGATTTTACTCATTAAGGTACCCTTTGCCCATTTTCCAAATGAACAGCGAGGTGGACGGAAACGCGTGGAGGGAAACGCTTATGAATGGGAAATTCAAGGATTCGCCATACTGCCTCTGATGAACTTATGTATCTTCAACTTGTGTAGGTTTTAACTTCATCCTTTTCATTCTATAAAGTAAACAAAACCGGATCTGAAACTTTAATTACGTATTTATAGATTACAGAATTTCATTGATTTCACCGACTGACAATATTCTACATTTAATCACTTAAATGTGAAATATGGACGTTAAATGTTTTTAATAATACTGGATTTTAAGTGACTACCCAACGATTATCTATGGATGTGCCTTTGATATCAACAGAGAACCCACCGTCATCTAGTAATAGTCTCTTGTACTGCGGATAACCGTCGTTACCAGTTTGAGTTTCCCTTATGAGAGCCCTGGGGTGTTCTTCACTGCACATGTTATCTTTCATACATGGTGACGTTCGATTTAAAGTTCCACGTGGACCACGTAGCATACTACATTTAACGATTTCGTGAAGCTCTAGGTCACATTTGGGATCCGGTATTTCAGCACAAGTTATATTGTCGATTTGATCCTGAGTAATACGTTTGCGAAGCCATAAAAGAATATAAATATATGGAAGACCTCTCTTTTGCCATTCCGTTGAGTACATATAGCTTCGCACTTCACCAAATATTTTGCCCCTTGTCAATAAGTTCATGATATTTTACACTTTTAGTGTAAGAAATTATATCGTGTCTATAATGAGATTGTTGTACTTGAAGCAATTGCCCTTTTATCTCGTCCCAGCGAGGATTGCATGTGAAAGTGATAAAAAGATCCGGCCGACCGTAATTCCTAACATAGGTCATAGCATCCTGTGTTCTTTCACCCCGTAAAAGATGACAGAAGGACAACCATTTGTCCTAGTTGATTTGCTTCTTGTTGTTCAATAGCATCTTTTAAATGGATCTAACTAACAGCACGTAATTTGGCTTGACTATTTTTGATATAATTTAATCTCTCTGTTTCTGTTTTGGCATATTCATTAAACAAATATTGTGTGCCTGTGGATTCCGTGGCCTGTAGATTCCTACATCTATCGTCGAGACCTACATTGTTGAGGAAAAATGCCCCGTGACTAGTAAAATCGGTTTTTGGTTCTAATTAACAAAAATTATAAGCGACAGTAGCCTAATGACAGGGCGCGGACCGCGAACTCAAAAAGTTTGTGGGTTCGAATCCACCATTCGACTACTGGCGTGAACCACTCGTAACACAAGCAATTTAAGCTTACCACGAGTGGTTAAGGGGAATATTAGTAATTTTTATAGCATTGTTAATATTTTTTTAAAAAAATAAAAAAAAATTAGTGTCGAGCATGTTCAAATTTAGTGTCGAACGTATTCCGTGTACTACGGTAAAAAATGAACGATATGATAGAACAAAGAATAACGATATGATAGGAAAACACTTCTTAATTACAATGACACAATGACAAAGAAATAACTGAACATTTATTGGCAATTCAGGCGTTATATATGGCAGTATAATGTGAATGGGCTATAGGTATTTCTATATATTTAAAGACATTTTTTACAAAATGAAAGCAAAGCATACCTCGGAATATTGTTTGTCTCTTCTTCTGTAAGCATGTGAAGAGTTGAACACGATGTAGCTTGAGTTTTAGCTATTAACAAATTTTTTTAAATAATGTTAGTAAAAAACATTAAAAATCACCCATTTTTTATTAATGTATATAATACAAAAATTGCTTTTTATTTTATAATAAATATTACATATAACATATAACAATATATAAAATATTTTTCGCTAATTGAATAACATTACAAATGTTTTATTTAGTAATATTTTTAATATTTTTTCGCTAATTGACTAACATTACAAATGTTAGATTTAGTAATATTCTTAATATTTTCACATAAGAAAGATTTAAATATTCAGAAAATGCAAAAGTTATCCAAAATTATGAATTTTAATATCCAAAATTATAATCATACTTTTTTTAAAACATCTAATGGACTTTTTGGAAAACCCGGTATACTAACTTAACTATACTAAGGAGGATACCTACTCAGTATAAATGGTAGTACGTTTTGTATTAGAGCGCAAACTTGTAGCATACTCGTAATAGTAAATCGTGCAGTTAATAATTATCAATATCATTTAAACGATTTGCCAAAAGTCAAAATTATTTACAAGAATATATAGCAAGATAAGGCTCGGATTAATTTGTGGACGGTCAATTCTTTTTATTCAAACTTACTTGAGTAGAGAGCCGTTTGTGCAGCGAGAGGTATAGAGGCAGCTGGCAGAACTACTAGTGTTACATGTTCCCCGGTGTTCCGCAAAGTTGCTACAGCTTTAGCATGAGTTGCACCAATTAGGGAAGTTTCTATACCCTAAAATATAATATTTTGTTTTATTTGTCGGCTCACATATAACTTTATAGCAATAATCATACCAGCAACCATATAATAATATTTGAGTTAGAAATAGTAACTCACAGAATAAAAAATAAGATTTTCTTTGTTTTATTTAAACATAATTTAATTTATTCAGGAGTATGTTTTAGTTGCAATTGTTAACTGCACTATCCAGAAAAACAAATTTAAATATTTTTGTTGTATTACAAAGTTCTGATGAAATACTTACGTCTTCGTCCCTCACAGCCAATATTTTATCGCCAAGCCTAAGTCTGCCATCATGATATGCAGCTCCACCGACTGCTATATAAGATATAAATACGCCACCACCACCAGCAGCATCATCGGCTCCTCCTGCAATTCCAAGACCAAGTCCCCGCGCTCCACGCCATAAGGTAACTACTCTGGGTCTTCTTGCTCGACGAACTTTCTACGTTTCCATAAATGTTTGATAAAACTTACAATTGTTACGTAATTTTAAGAATGTAGTAGTATATAGAAATATAAAACTAACAGTTTATTGAAAAAATCAAAATTATTATTGATATGGAATATCAAATCAGCATATGTACATTATGTCAGGCTACTTACTAATTTTACGACATTTCCTGCTTTCTGCAAAGCATCGACTGCTACTGAATGTGGGGCACCCTCCAATAAAATATCGTTAACCTGAAATTTGTAATTGATTGTTTTAGTGACTGATTCCTAATATAATATTTCTGTTTCTACAAGTATTATACAACTTATGACATACATAAAATTTTCTTTATTATATTATGGCGTGTAGTGGCGGAGAAATTAAGAGGAGATGAGCAGCAGCGCCTTCTTGATAACAACTCAAAATTATAAAAACTACGGTTGGCAAACTGCCTGCCAAGCGTGATAACTATGGAAAAATACCCTCCATGGGTCAATCTATGGGGGGGATATGTTCAGCAGTGGAATTTATTGGCTAAAATGGTATGGTATGGGACTCATAGTTATCGTCATCACTGTAGCCCATCTTAAGTCTCATACCGGTATTCAGAGAGAGAACATTCAAAGAGTTTGAACTCTAAAATGTGAAAATTTTATTCCAGCCTATGCAAAGCTCCACAAATATTAGCGTAAGACTATAAGAATGTAGGCAAAGATCATGTTTTGTGGAATTTAAGTTACTACGCTTTTCTAATAATAGCCTGCACTAAACTGTGCTATCAACTACGAGTACGAGACTGCCAGCCACACAACAACACTTCAGATTCGGATTGACTTGTAATAAATTCTGTAAAACGAAACAACGAAAATCTATGTTTTAAGACATTACACATATGTTTCTAACTAGCTGTATCCGCGACTTCGTTCGCGTGGAATCAGTACTTTTGCTATTCTATGTGAAGATGATTTATTTGTAAATTAAACTGTCGCAAAGACTTAGAAAGACACTTATTTGAATAAAACTATTCAGTTAGTCGGTCAGTGAGACAAACAATGAAACGGACCCACAAACGAACCAAAAAAACAAATAGGGCAAACTGTACGCTTCGTGTTTTGTCCTATACCTTTAAACGAGCAATTCTTGTATATATAATCGGAATCTCGGAAACGGCTCAAACGATTTAGTGTCCAGGGAGTTTGGGGGCAATAAATCGATCTAGATAGGATTTATTTTTAGAAAATGTCTTTTTGTCCGTGTTTTCAGGCAAAGAAAAACAGCTACAATATAAGAAGGTAAATTTTGACACTGTGTTAATGATCGTAATAGCTCAAGTGGATATCGAGCGGTCGCGAAATCGTAAACCCTTGGTTCGCGTCTTGTCTTCGGTTCGATTTTTTCCTTTTTTTTTCAAGTTCCCTTTTTTGTGAGAAAATCTATTATTTCGAACTCTTTTTTTAGTATTTTTTAAAAATACGAAAATTTTAATTAAACTAATTGCACTCATGATTTTTTATTCAAATAACCAATTCAGTTTTTCTATTATGTCAATAAGATCAAAAAATATTATTCATCAGTATGTAATTTGTATCTAAATGTAATTTAAAAAAAAATACCGAACTAAGCTCGGTCATCCGGGTACTTAAAAAATTTAAATTTAATTAAATTTAATTGCTTGTAAATAAACAACAAAATGACCGCAATAACGTGTTCCCAAATTTGCTCCCGAATTTCTTTAGCCAACACTTGGTTTCCATACAAAAAATAAGATATTGCCCTAAATAAGTAAGCACCATCACTAATGATATTGAATAAAAAATTTGAAATGAAAACAACAATCAAACGCCTACCTAAAACTAAGTACCTTAACTAAGAAAATAATGAAATTGCGTAATTATCTATATTTTTTCTCATCCTGCAAACAAATAAAAGTAAAACTAAACTCAACTTAGGAAAGTTTTTGACCTACCCATAAGTAATATGTGTCATCGGGCTTTATCAAGAAATTCTCAGTAGTAACACGGAGTCAAGGGTTTAGCAGTGTTTCATCCTCAGAGAGCACGTAAAGCCGTTTAACCTGTATCTGATCTCACTATATTCTTTTTTTAATATTTTTAATATTTTGTTTATATTTTGTATATAATATCAGTAGGGGCAGATTTTCGTAAAGTTCCATAATAAGTATTATTCATAATTATCGTAATTTCGTTTTACGGATTTTCCCACCAACATGCAATTGAAAACCATTTTCCGCGCAAACCATGTGTCCAGGTTTTAACTCTTTAAAGTGAGATACAAGGAAAATGAAAAAATTAACTGCATTATTGCAATCCTAAAGTATTCCTACTAATTTTAAAGTTACAATAATCATTTAATAATTCTTCCCTATACCAATATGAAATCACCTCGTAAAAAACATTCTTTAAACCTTATTTTACTAAGGATTTAAATTTTTTAGGACTTCCTTCTTAGTGGATGCCTACTTAGTAAAAGGAAGTTAATGTTCAAATTTCACGCATCTACTTCCAGTGGTTTGGGCTGTTAAATTAAATGGCAGATTTAATAAAATATTTTTCATACAAAATTTGAATCCTTGTTTAAAACCGTAAGAGGCAAATTTTATTATTTAATTACTTTAAAGCATTAAATATTTTTTCTTTTTTCAGATTGAACATTATCTACATTAAGCAACACTTCTTCCTCCTCAGGTAAGGGTTGTTTTAAGAAATACCAAAGTATTTTATTTCCATACAAAATTGCATACCCTCAGCCTCTGCGCCCTCTACCGTAACGGGTTATTTTGAAATCGCAACATACGTATTTATTTATTTTGTAAATACAGTACTATCATTAAGTATCAAGTCAATCGCCTTGTAAAATATTTTTTTTAATAAAATAATAAACTGTAACACATTTACCACTCTCAGGAATCGAATTTTCCAAAATGATTTCACAGATGATTTCTACGTCATAAAAGGTAACTCCCTACAGTCCAACTTTCAGATTTCTACTTCAAGCGGTTTAGGTATGACTACCTCAGCGTAGTTTGTATCTTTGACTACGTATATAAAGAGTATATTATAGTAGATACACAGTGAACTGTGACAATAGTCTATAAATATCAAAACTAAATTTACGGAAAATTAAATTTTATTTTGTTCCTTTTTACAATGACCAATATAAATTAAATTTTATAAATGCTATTTGCAAACGAAATAAAAAAACTTCTGATATAAAATAAGAATTTTGTCTAATTTTTAGTACCTATTAACTAAGCAAATAAAAACATTAATTAAATAATATGCACTTTATTACTACTAACAAGTGCGTCAGGACGGCAGTATGGACTCTTCCCGCTCCAAGAAGTATGTGAATGCCTACAATGATATCCTTTTTATATATACATTTCATTGAGTGCCTATACTCAGCCGTGGACCATATTAAATTGGCTGTATATTATAATATATAATCCGCTTCTTCGGTTCAGTAATCGGTTAAAGCGTGCGTAATAGATCGTAGAAACTATGCCAAACATTGAGTTGTATAAATCAATGATACCAATTATGAGGCAAACATTGGTAACGGTTATTGGATAAAAGGAAGAAATATAATTGCTGATCCAATAGAAACATTCCGTTGAAAGCAGCAAGCAAAGTTATTATTTACATATTATGTGTCCTTCATATCTCGTTTATAATGAAACCTTACGGTGCTTGAAAATACTTAAAGTGCCATCTATATAAAATTATGGTATTTAATTTATTATGGCAGTAAAATAAAAATTATATGATTTTTAGAAAAGAAAGGGTAGGAATAATATAAAAAACTAAAAATCGGGTAACGTAATTATTCAATTTCACGACAATGTACTCGTAAATTTTAAAACTTTTGGAAGTGCAAAAGGGAAGTATAATATGCTTACTGCCAAGCTTATATAAGACTGATATAATCCTCGCCAAAACCAAAAAAACTTGTTAATAGCTCTTTCAAAATTTGAACTACCATGTGGTACTCGGCGATTAAGAAAAAAATTAAGCACACTGTAAAATTTAATAAATAATTTGCACAACACTATTTATCGATGACATTGTTAAACTATTGTACTTTTTTTTACTAAGATATTAGGATTTATATATATTTTTATAAATATTTATTACGTTATTCTTTATTAATTTTCTTACCGCGTTTAGATTGAATTATGTATATCATTATAGAACACTATTTTACATTATTTAATTACAAAAATATCCTTGATCACTCAATGCCACCATTGAACAAATTCGTACCTATATTTCGAACCCAACCTTCAGAATATTAATCATAACTTTTGATTGGATGAACCGATGAGTAATGAACCGATTTTAATAAAACAAAGACTAAATTCAAAACGAAGACATGTTTCACAATTTTCATAACGATTATTTAGATATAAATCGGTACTTTATACATGATACATTAACAAGCGAACAGAGAGATAGATATACAACTCTAAAAATGGTAGAAATGTATTCAGTTACTTATTTTTAGTCTATCTCAATAAATTTTGTTACAAAAATATAAAATGTACCGACATCTGTAATTTACATTTTTATTATATGTATAGATATGCTTACACCGTCTAGTGGCGGTGCAAGAGTAGGTAAGGGCGTAGGAGTAAGAGGTGACAGAGGGAAATAAATTATGAGATCCACAGTAGAATCTTCCTAATAAAGACATAAAATAAAAAATGCGGTTGCCAATCATACAACTATGTCAAATATTTCTCTTATGGAGAAATCTATAGGGGAGTCCTACGTTCAGCAGTGTACTTTGATAGGTTAGGACAGGTGAACTTCGGGTCTCTATTGTGCTATTATTTAGAATAAGAAGGTAGTTCGCTCGCTTCTATAAAAATAACATAAGGATGAGTTATAGTGTATGTTTAGTTAGAGTAGTATACAGAATGTTCGGAGGAAATATTATTTCATATTTTTGGAATATAAATATGGTGATTATATCACAAATAGTAAATACGTTAGTTTTTATTTATATATTTTAGTTATATTATGTTAAGCTGGTGTTTATACATAGGTTGGACTTGCAATTTTGTACAAATAAACTGTTCTACAAGTAATGTAAGTTTTGGTTTTTCTTCGATGGGTAGAATACCACAGAGTTTGAGTAATTAAGTTTTATACGCGGTAGAGCCATGCTGCAGTTATATGAGTAGTAAAGTTGTAGCAAGAATGGTTTGGCTCGACCGGGGAAGGAGCGCTCTCACAAAATACCAGCGTAAAATAGCAGCTTAATGCTGCTGTGTTTCGTATGGTGAGTGTAGAGAAGCGGAGACTCCTTTTACTGGAAACAACGCAATAACATCTTATTGGATACTCTTGTTTGATATATATAAATATATATATACATAATGACACTTTATCATATCTTTCGTCCGTCAATTCATGACTACATAGTATACAAACACAAAGAAGGCGTCAAAGAATATAATTATTAAGTAGTGGTGATGATGATTTTATAAATATGTGCTACAATAAAACGCTGTTTCTTGAGTATGACTTTAATAGAACATTATTGGCGAGAGAAAACTCGATAATGATACTTATATTTAGATACACTATTATACAATTTAATCAAACAATTTTAATAAAATTAAAATGATGCTTTCCTAAGTGCTGCACTGCAAAGATATTCTGGGGTTTAAGTTTTTTTTTTAATTTTGGACAAACCATCATGTGCAAAAAACGGAAATATAAAATAAACTATATGTGACTGCTGGACACTATGAAGAGGTTTCTGCGCTCTGTTTATTGCGTGATAGAGTTAAAATGAGGATATCCGCAGTCTATAACTATAATTTATTGCGTGATAGAGTTAAAACGAGGATATCCGCAGTCTATAACTATAATTTATTGCGTGATAGAGTTAAAATTACGATATCCGCAGTCTATAACTATAATTTTGATCGAGTGACACTTACAGGTAAATTACTTTGATCGAATAAAAATATGCAACAATGAAATTACATAGGTATTAAAAACTATCAAAATCAGCATGTTGATTGTACTACATCAAAATTATATAAAAATACATTTTTAAATTTCAATAACCAATGGGGCCGCAAATGTTTTTTCTTCTTTTGGCACTTAAAAAATTTGTTTAGTTCATGTATCAGTGTACAGATATTAACTAAATTAAGTATTTCTATTCATAGAAATATTTACAAAAGACTATAAGCTATTTCAAAACTGAAATGTATTTGAACGAACACGACAGTGTCTAAAAACGGACTGTGACCAAGGCTTAGAGACAGAGCTCGCGGGGGCTTACAACACATGAGTGGACAAACGGATTACAGGGCGGAGAAGGCACGCTCGCGCAAATATATTCAATTTCGGGGAAAAAATATATTTTCAGAAATAAAACCGGGAATAAAAATAAAGCACTCAATTAAAAATATTAAAATTTTTAAGACCTTTTTTTAGTATGAAAACTACTTAAAGAACTTGTGCCGTTTTGGAGAAATTTTTCAAAATAGGAAAAAATAGGTACCATTTGAGGGTTTTTTTTTTCTAATAAGGGGTTGACTAAAATACAATTCTATTAAATTAAAACCTTTATCGAATCTTCATCTGTCACCTTATATTTTCTTTGCGGATAAAATTAACAGTTGTTGTGATTTTATTACTTAAATATCCAAGACACTAGGAAATTTAATCGCTCTTATGGCCTTAAGGTCACTCAGAGATTACTCACAAAATCACAAAACACCATTTATTACCAAACCACAAGCATTTTGAAATCATACTCTGCTCTAAGTGCGGCACGTATACGAAATATTTGCATAATAATTTATCGATAAACAACGGATTATTTTAAAGTTAATAATTTTAATTAAAAGATATAAAACGTATCCATTCCTTTTGAGAAATATACTAGTTATAAAAGAATTACAAAGGCTTACTTAAATTTTTGATATTAATGAAACGTATGGATAAGTTTAAAAATGTACGATACTTGAATGCTGTCGCGCCAGGAACCGCAAACCGTATGGCAAACAAATAAAAGTTCCGAGTACGGATCCAAGCATATGTGTACAACGTTTTTATGTATAACGCTTCCACGGCACAGAAAAATACCTGTTGGGAACATTAAAAAGGTTTAGTAATTTTATTTAGTTTAGAAACAAATTAAAAAATAATACCTGTAGCAAAATATCGCCTATTTGCAGTCTACCGTCATTCTTAGCTGCTCCCCCAACTGCTAATCTTGTAATGCTGATATCACCGCCACTCTCTCCACCCGCTATACTCAGTCCTAGACCATTTGTGCCACGTTCTAAAGTCACATCAGCCGTTTCCCAAACGGAATCACCATCTGAATCTATGGAACCCTACAATACAAAATTATTTCAGTTTTATCAAAAATTATTTTTCAGTTAAGTAATGATAATACGAGTAGCTTAAGCCTGTGATATTATTATACAAATACTTATTGGGTATTAATAGCAGACGTCTTCGAGTATAAAGTAATTCCGCGGGGAAACTTAGCGCATTTGTACGACTTAATTGCACGGATAACATTTGCCATGGATTTGTAAAATACATCGATTTCTTATACTAATTGGCATTTTAACTCACCCTGAACGTAACAGTAGAAAGAAATTGTCATAATAGCGATGCTATATGGGCATATTAGCAATTTCATATATACCATTATCTACGTATGGCACCTTCGACAGAATTTTGAGTATTTTAAATATGACATATAGATAAACGACAATATTCTGCTACCTGTGCACCGCGACGTGCCTTTCTGGTCTTTCCGAAAGTTGGTCTTCTTTTACTACTAAGTATTTTTTGCGCCACGACAATATGATCTCTAATACAATTAATCTTATGTTTAATTTTAAGCAGAATACCAGATTAAATTTGACGCAATAAATAACATATGATAATAGTTAATTAACTATTATCACATGTTATTTTTGAATTACATCCTAGTCAGGAGAAAAATAATTGAGGACTATATCGCAAAGCTAAGGGCCCTCATCGACAGACTTACAAACATCAGGTCGGGTAATAATAAGCCAAGAGTTTACCAGCACCATTAGAGTGGCGTTTGCTGGGACAATTATCACAGTTTGTTTCAGCCGGATATAACGCAATAACTAACGGAGCTCATAGAGGACCTGAAGCTAAGAATCGCTGCTTGGAGGAAGCGGATTCGACGATATACCAAGAGGTTAAGGCGGCTCAACCAGAATCGCCTCTTCCAGAGTGATCAGAAGAGGCTTTGTAAATCACTGGAGCCGCCATCGATAGGTGGTACGGCCCAAAAGCCAAATCAGGCCGATACTTTAGCCTTCTGGCAAAGCCTGTGGTCGAAGTCCATTAACCACAGCAAGAGACTTTAGACGGTAGTTGTCGCGAGTCAGAGTACGAGTATTACGCCTATAAGCCCCGTCATTATAACGCCGGACCGTGAAACTGAGGCAGTCCATAGGGCCCGAACTGAAAAATTCCTAGGATTGACGAATTGCACCACTACTGGCTGGCTGGCTAAGGGGGTTCGTGTTGTGTCACTATGTGCTTGTCCAAATGTTCCAAGAGGCTCTCGACCAGAAGTCGCTCCCTAACCTCTTCACTGTCACTGGGATCACTCATTTAGTTCATAAGGATCAGGATACCACAGATCCGAGCAAATATCACACCATTACGTGTTTACCCACGATCTATAAGACACTGACATCCATTTTGAGAGCGCGAATCACTCGTCATCTGATTTAAATCAGATCGCGGACGGTGGTCGTGAAACCAAGGAATAATTGCCCATTTACCTCTACTATTCTTAAGGATATTGCCGTCGACATCTGTCGAGCTTGTCGCCATCCTGGTGAACCACTTAGGTATCTCATCTCCGGTTGTTCGGCTCTTTTTAACTCTAAGGACTGCACAAATACATTCGAGTAGCCAGGATTCTACATTAGGTGCTCGCTCAGAAATATGGTCTCGCGGATCGGAAACTGCCTTATTATAAGTACATGCTGGAAGCCGTGCTCGAAAATGACTGCACCAGGCTCTATTGGGACCGGGCCCTCAACACATATAGGACTATTCTTGTTAATAAGCATGACATTGTACTGATAGACTGGGCACAGTCAAGGACGTTTTTGGTTGACATTACCAATCCATATGACGGGAATCTCGTGAAATCCGAAACAGATATGAAAACAAAATATAAGGACCTGGTTCACGAGGTTACCGACATATGTTTGGCTTTCATTTATTTGTGTATTATTTGTGTTAGTATATTATATATATATATATATATATATATATATATATATATATATATATATATATATATATATATATATATATATATATTATCTTTTGCTATATTTATTCAGCCCAAGCAGATGAGAATACTTTATAAATACCCCAAATAATAATAATATTATGTTGTATTACAATATCGATAATAACTTAATAAAATACTTTGGGTCTAATTGATAACACTTCATTATTCTAACTACTTACTTACTTACTTACTTATCTTCACGCACAATCCCTAACGGGGTAGCCAGAGAGAACAGATCGCCAAGTGTCACGATCCTTACATACCTCTTTCGCTTCCTTCAGGTTCATTAACTTCTTCATACATGCACGTCTAGGTATCCGAGTACTCTTGACCCTCCCCTCTTCGAGCAATTTGCTCACATGGTCTTCAAAAGTTAGTCTCGGTCTACCTCGACACCTTTTAATATTTACTTTCGCTCTATATATTTTCTTCACCATTCGGTCTTCACTCATTCGTTCAACGTGCCCAAATCATTGGAGTACGCCCCTATCAATTTTTGTGATAAGGTCATCTTTCAATCCTGCCATATTGCGAATCTCTTCGTTTCGCTTTCGGTCGGCTAAGGTAACGCCACACATTTTACGAAGAGATCGCATCTCCACTGCATTCAACTTGCTTTTATGCTTCTTCTGGCATACCCAGGTTTCGCTGCCATATAACAAAGTCGGTACCAACACTGCATTATGTATTGCAAGGCATGCACTCTTCACCACGCCTTGCCTTTTTACTAATGCATTCAAGGCACCATTGACTTTGTTTCCGGCAGCGACACGCCTATCCACATCTAAATCACATCTTCCATCCCGGCTGAAAGCACTCCCCAAGTATACAATTTCATTTACCTGTTCTAAACATTCCTGATTTACCCATATTTCACATTTCGTTCTCTCTTCGTCCTTTTCAAATACCAGAACCTTAGTTTTATTAGCATTCAAACGGAGAACTTTAATTTCACATTCCTCTTTCATACACGTGACTAATGCCTGCAGTTCTGCTTCTGATGGTGCAATAAGCACTGCATCATCAGCATACAGCAGATAATTAACTTTTATGTCACCCAATTTCACATCCAAACAGCTATTTTTCAGCTTCTGTAAACAGCTGTCGAGATACAGTATGAAAAGCCAGGAAGACATGACACAACCCTGTTTTACGCCCGCTTGGACACTAAACATGGGTGACAGGTCATGCCCTACCCGCACACAGGCTTTACAGTCATAGTAAAGTGACTGCACAGCCCTTAACAATCGACAAGGCACAATATCCCGGCAACAGTTCCCACATTTTCTTCCTTATAACCTTATCAAATGCTTTCTCCAGATCCACAAAAGCACAGAAAATCTTCTGGTTAACACTTAGAAGCTTCTCCGTGATCATGCGGAGAGAAAACATTTGATGCGTGCATCCTCTTCCAGGTCTAAATCCGCATTGTGCCTCCCATAAGAATCTTTCCGATTTCTCTTGCATCCTACGTGTCAAAACCTTCGAGTAAACTTTATTTGCTAAACTGGTCAAGCTGATCGCCCGATAGCACCCGCAGTCAAAATGTGAACCTTTACCTTTATATAAAGGCACAATGACCGCGGATCGCCAATCATCCGGGACATCTCCCGTCCGCCAGCACAAATTGCACAGCAGATGGAAGCTGTCCCAAACGCGAGGCCCACCGTACTTGACCATTTCAGCAGTAACTCTGTCTAGTCCCGCAGCCTTACCACATTTCAAACTTCGAATCGCACGTTCAATCTCTTTCATGCTGATGACCACAGTGTCATCGAGGTCCGTGTCTGGCGTGCCAGTCACGGCGTCACCCCCGGATCTTTCACTAAGATCATGACACGCATACATTTCTCTATAAAATTCACTCCATCGCTGCATGACGTCGGATTTTTCTGAGAGGACGTCATTGGTTCTCGAAAGCACTTTGTTCATTCTTAAGGCTGTCGCACCACTCCGGGACCTTCCAACCTCTTTCCTGAAGGGTTTGGAGTTTTCCCTAAAGTTGTGCGACAACCTCTCGTCCGCTTCTATTCTACACCTTTCACGTACTTCCTCAATCAATGTTTTCGCATGAACTTTCTGCAGCTTATATCTTTCTTTCATCTTCTCTCCCATATGCTCATCGTTACTAGAGGCCAAGTAGTCTAACCATTCTAACTACAAAAATAGTAATAATTTTGATACATATAAGAAGTGATTTTATCATATAACCGATCAAGTATATGAACGACAAAAACACTGAAAACACGGCACCACGTAAATAAAATTTGGTAAGTGGTAAACAATAACTCTTATTCATAATGACAAGGGGTTCTATGATAAGGGGGAACGATAATTCGTTTCATGTGTTGTCGCAGCCTAAATGAATCCATCACCCCGTTACGTACTGTGGGTATAGTAAGAGTCTACTAGGAAACGTCAGATAAATCTAATGGCTTTTGATAATATATGGCGGTATAACAATATCTTACGTCGGAACTCGACATAAAATATACAGGCCGTATACGGGCAGTAACGTCAAAGGTGTGAGACATTTTGAATTGCAATTATCAATCTGCTTTTCAACAGTGACAATTACGGGAAATCCGTAAGGTTTGGGTTAGGGGAGGCCCATGTCTTCAGTAGACTTTTACGGGTTGGTAACTCGAGTGCGATCCCTGCCGGCTTTAATAAAACTGTTAATTAAATTTTAAGTGATGATTTATCATGTGTTCAGCGGTGAAGATTTCTTTGTGAGAAAACCTGTTTGTCTGAAAAATTAAATTATATATTTTCAAGATATCTGAAGTCTGCCAACACGCATTGGGGCAGCGCGGCGGTCATTCCCTTGCCCTAAAACCCACTAAGTAATAAGAGAATGTCTGTGCCCAGCAATACACAACCAGTGGCAATATTAATGCACAACAATATTTGCATCTACTATTTTAAGAAATAACACAATTGATCCGAGTCTCAATATAAAAATTTTGATATTTATTAAAAATGAACAGTGACACCTGTCTGTAAACGTTAAAGAAACTAAATCTACGGTTAACTAAATTGATTTTAGCGATGGTAATGTTTATTATAAAATTATCTTTACGTTTATAAATTTAAGTCTGTACGATATAATAAACCAAATTAAAATGAAAAATCTTTTTTTGGTTTACATAATGATTTCTTAAATTTACGCGAACACTACACATTGAATAAAACTATTATTTACGGATTTTATCGCGTTTAATATCTTTAATTTATTTTTATTATTATCCCGACGTTTCGGGTGCTTTACAGCGCCCATGGTCACGGGGGGGGACTGAGATGTTTGACGTCCCAATGTCATAGTTAGTCCGGCTACCTTCAGTTTTTTAATATTAATTTTTGGTCCGATTTACGCAAAACGAGCTTATAGTATCATGAAGTCTTGCAGTGGTATGCTTGGGTTTGGGTTTAATTTTGTTGATTATAGGATCCCAAGCAGATGGTAGCACCCAACCATCTTCTCTATTGAAATTTGGATGTTTTTTAATTTCAATAGCCTCGCGTATCATCCTTGGTAGGAATCGGTGTTCTTTTGCGAGAATTTGTGGTTTATCAAATCTAATGTAATGGTGGGGACGATCTTGAACATGTTCGCAGACTGCAGACTTCCCGGAGCGTCGGTGCTTCACATCAGCTATATGTTCCTTCACGCGGGTTTTTATAGATCTCTTTGTTTGACCTATGTAAGAGAGACCACATTCACAATCTAGCTTGTACACACCTTCATGATACTATAAGCTCGTTTTGCGTAAATCGGACCAAAAATTAATATTAAAAAACTGAAGGTAGCCGGACTAACTATGACATTGGGACGTCAAACATCTCAGTCCCCCCCCGTGACCATGGGCGCTGTAAAGCACCCGAAACGTCGGGATAATAATAAAAATAAATTAAAGATATTAAACGCGATAAAATCCGTAAATAATAGTTTTTTTGGTTTATCTAATATTAAAAATAATTTTTGTTTGTTCGTGTTTTATGCGCTGCCATACCGTTCATCATATTGCTTGCAGGTTATAGGCATAGTTGGCCCGGTAGGTGGCGCAGTTGTAGACCCAAATATAATTCGTGCGAAGCCGGGGCACATCGCTAGTAATTAATGAAATTCAAAAGTATGTATATACAATATAAAAGTATCATCAAAATAAGAGTATAATTCATCAGGCGGATTTTTATATTCGGGAACAGGACGTACGGCCAAAAATTTGTACCGTTACTCGAGGTAGTACGTCACGATTTTCATAACGATTCTTTTGAAGAACATTCATACTTCAGACGTGATGAATGCATAAACAAATAGAGAGATGACAATTTTAAAAATGACAGAAAATGTTTTTATTTACTTATTATTTTAAGCCCCTCTATATCATTTTCATCACAAAAATATACAATCTACACATAAACATACAATAGAAACACCTGTAATTAGCATTTTTGTTAAATGTATAGAAAATATATTTAGAATTTTATCCTGAAATTTTATAGATCAAATAAAAATTAATTTTGAAAATAAGTTTCGAAATAATCATCAGCATTATTATTACCTTATTACAAAACTAAATTCTCGTGTTGATTCATTACTTTGAAATATTCTAATATTTTCCTATAGAATAAAAATATATCTTTAGAAAAATCGTACCTGTAAGCTTCCTGCGATATATCGGTCAACTTCTGAACTTTGCGTCGACTGCTCTCGCCCACATTCAAAGTTGCCAATATTTGCTGTAAATAAAACAAAACCGATACAAAGCAGAAAACGATATCGACATATTTCTTTAAAGTTAAGTGTATACCACACATATTATAGGATGTATTTTCTATACGTGAAGCTGTTTTATAGCTATCAAATATATAAATATGTAAAAATGTGTTTATATTATATATTAGAACAATTCACAAAAACTGTTAAAGTGTGTTTATCACAGCGAAAAAATATTATGTTCATCTAATTTCTCTTTTACTTGAAAACCAGCTGAAAGTAATTAATATCGCGTTGAGAAATTTTAACACACCCTTAGTTTGGGAAGTACATTAGGAACTAAGTTAGTAAAAAGACCATCTCTGTTGATCAAGTGTTATAAGCGTTAAGCGAGGAAAGTATCTTAATTAGGGAACGCGTTATCTTAAATCGCTCATGAGAAGTAAAAGTAATGTTTTATAAGAAAAGTGCGATAGTTTAGTTAATGATAAAATTCACTCATCGCTGAATAGTATTTTTTTAGAGGCGACATAAAAATCAGTTATACTTATTAGTAGTTTTGAATATTAATAATTTAGTAACTTACAGACCCTTATTACTGAAAATGAGGCATTTCATCTTAGTCCTCATCGGTGGGGATAGATATGGATGTCTATGGGTTACATCAAGAACTTAACAACAGGTGGTCCGTGTGCTCGTTTGTCACTCTTATCCTATAAAAAAGAAATAATAACGTAAACGGAATACGAAATCAATTTAAAAAATTACTGTCTACTAAAAATATATTTTATGATTTAACTACTTGTATACTAACTTAACATAAATATGCCTAGTATAACCATAGGTTATGTTACTCTTTAAAATATATATTATCTTTTTTAAAGAAACTATGATAATAATAAAACATATGTGAATATATTCAGCTTTTATTAACTAAGCTTTTAATTAAAACAATTTTATTAAAATTTGTCGTCCTTGGCTTTGATACTGGAACTGTCTCTAAGGAGAATTTAGTCGCGGCTAACTCTAAAGATTTCTTAAGAGACTCAATGTCGGACTAACGTTTTTGGAGTCCATTTAATGTACTGAACACAATTTTTGGTCCCCTCGGATTCAAATCTGGACTAGACGAAGGCCAGTCTTTAGCTCTAATGAAGTCTCAAAAATTGCTTACGATTCAAGTTTGGGATTTCGCTGCTCTGTTACTTTTTTAAGTCTATAATACATTTGAAAAAAGTGAACCAGTGAAAGATTTTACTACATAATCCATAGCGCTCTGATTTACATTTCCTAAAGTCTTTACTTCATTATTTATAAAATAGAGCTCTGTGACTCCTTAGTTTACCTTAATTGTACTTCTTGGCCTTGGAATTTTGAGTATTTACTTTGCTAGTTTACTTGCTTTTGTTCATTTTAGTCGTGTAAACATTTTCATCTGTAAAGAGTACATGTCTACGTTTCCCACCAGCATATCGGGGCAGCAAGCGTTCATAAGCGTCATGAATTTATTAAGTGCATGCCCTGTGTATCAAAACTAATTTACGTGGTGAAGCCATACTACAGCTATATTATAGTTCTAGCATGAATGGGTCAGCTCAACTGGGGATGGAACACGCTCTCACACAATATTAGCATAGAATAGCAGCTTTATGCTGCTATGTTTCGTATGGTGAGTGTAGAGAACCGGAGACCCTTTTTTATTAAGAATGGGCTCACTCTTGACCTCCATCTGGCCTGGAGGAAAAGATGAGATCTACGATAGAGCAAGTTTGGCCAGGAGAAACCTTGAGGAGGTTAAGGTTATACGCACTCGGAAAAACATTCCACTCTTTGGCTGTGTGCATTATGAAACATAACGTATAGCGCTTAGTGCGAATATTCAGAATGTCAACGGATGTACTTAGGAAGGTAGGAGTCAGATCAAATGGACTCCGTACTGTAGAGAACCGACAGGCCTGCGACATTGAAGGTATACAGATTATTGTCACCCCCTTAAGGTCGCATCCCTCCGTCTTTCACACTGGACCTGAATCTTTTTGTGACTACGCTATCATCTGCATACCCAACAACACCTGTTAGAAGTAGGTCATTTATGTGCAGTAGAAAAATAGTCGCAGAGAGAACAGACCCCTGAGGAACTCCGGCATTAGTTCATCAGAGCAGCTATCTATGAATACCCTGATTGACCGTTTACTGAGAAAATAGATACAGATATCCAGTGGTTTAGTGGCTTAACTTGGACTTGCGGCGCTGAAGGCCAGGCCGCGGTATCGAATCCCGCACGGAACAAGTATTTGTATGGCCTACATATAACTGTTCTAGGTGTGGGTGTTTGTCTTTGTGCAATTTATGTTTGTAAACTGCTTCCATGGTACGGGAGAAAATCCTAGTGAGGGGTAACGTTTTAAAAAAAATACAAAATGTACCGTTAAAGCTTGACTTTTGAAGTGTTTTAAAAATTACTTACAGCTCCACACGCACTTTGTTGAAAGCAATATGCAATCCTGATTTATTTAACGTAATGTCATTAAGCAACTACAGTATTAAATATGATATGTTTTTTTTATTTGGTAATAGACTCGTACCGTACTTTTGTCATTGTCAAGTAATAAGAAAATATCCCTAATAATTTGTTTAAAAGATTCCTCACAATATGTTGTTGCACTCAATAGCTAAGTTTTTAGGAATTTTGGATGGCAGCTTGAACCAGGAGATAATTGATGACGATAGTATCTCAAATCGTATTGAGATAAAATTGAACAAAACAGACAACATAGCTTGAGGCTTAGATCACCATCTGAACACTTGTTCTATAGTTTCCGTTAATAGTTCACATGCGCAAAGATACAAAAGGTCACCACCTTTACGTAGGTATCAAAATCCGTTTTAAACTATTATTGTAACAAGAGCAACAATCCGTCGGCAGTCTTAAACGCATTCCTCTCTCTCTATCTCCATAAGTATATATTAAATATTAATGTAAAAAAGCAAGAAAACTCTTAAATTTGTAAATTTTTGTGGTCATAATAATTATGCTCTTTCCACAACATAAACGAGTAGGAATATATTTTATATATAGGTTCTTGTTCTCTACATATTATTGGCCTTCAGTTGTAATACTTCGGTGTTATCGAATATTCATTCAACATATATATGGGACAACTTCGAGAGTATTTTTCCCAACGATCTTCGTTATTATTAGGCATCCAATTTCCATCTATTTAATTATCATAAGTATTGTGTAATACTTTAAAACATATTCCAATATAGAGGAAATATATTAGCATTCTATAACCTCTCTGTGGTGTATTGTAAATTTTTCGAATATTCGTAATCACTGAAGTGACATCATGAATGACATCAGTGAAGTGCAATAACGTCAAATGGCGGACGCTCTCGGTGAGTATAGACATTATCAGGATTGGTACTGCTCCGCGGCTGCTCTAGAGGATCTCGTGTATCTTGTACTTCATGTCGCGCACGTTTACACGCGGCGCATCCACATAAAGAGCCGCGTACTCGCAGTAGCTACACTAACCCGAACAGCGTCATCCATGTAGTCATGCTGCATCTACTTTGCCTATCATAACACACTTTGTTTACTGGCAGTCACTCACTCATTTTTTCATCATTTGCCCTATAATTTCAATTTCATGTTCCAGTATATAATTTTAATATGTATTTTTTATGATAAGTCCATGGTTGTTTAAGTAAACATTTGACTCACTTTTTTATTTCTTGTTTCCTGTATTCTTTACACTATTATAATAGATGTCATATTTTTTTGTTTTGTTCTATTTAATTATCATAAGTATTGTGTAATATTTTAAAACATATTCCAATATAGAGGAAATATATTAGCATTCTATAACCCCTCTGTGGTGTATTGTAAATTTTTCGAATATTCGTAATCACTGAACTGACATAATGAATGACATCAGTGAAGTGCAATAACGTCAAATGGCGGACGCTCTCGGTGAGTATAGACATTATCAGGATTGGTACTGCTCCGCGGCTGCTCTAGAGGATCTCGTGTATCTTGTACTTCATGTCGCGCACGTTTACACGCGGCGCATCCACATAAAGAGCCGCGTACTCGCAGTAGCTACACTAACCCGAACAGCGTCATACATGTAGTCATGCTGCATCTACTTTGCCTATCATAACACACTTTGTTTACTGGCAGTCACTCACTCATTTTTTCATCATTTGCCCTATAATTTCAATTTCATGTTCCAGTATATAATTTTAATATGTATTTTTTATGATAAGTCCATGGTTGTTTAAGTAAACATTTGACTCACTTTTTTATTTCTTGTTTCCTGTATTCTTTACACTATTATAATAGATTTCATATTTTTTTTGTTTTGTTCTGTTTAATTATCATAAGTATTGTGTAATATTTTAAAATATATTCCAATATAGAGGAAGTATATTAGCATTTTATAACCCCTCTGTGGTGTATTGTAAATTTTTCGAATATTCGTAATCACTGAAAAACAAAACTACTTATGTAATTAATAAAGTTGTACATCTCTGCAAGTATTTATTAAATATTAATATATATTATAATAACTAGTTCACTAAAATCACATAGCGTATTTATTCACGCTCCTTTATGTGAGATAAAATGAGCTTTATACTTTGCCATCATCTATTCGTAATAAATTTCATTGTAACCGAAAAAGGTGGGAGGGAATAAAATTATTATATGGAGTGAAATGCTTTCAAATGGTCATTAATAATTGTATCCTAATGACTACGAATATTTTCGCAAGTACGTTAGTACGTACATCCTGTTTCCAACAGTCGACATTCAATATAGCTAGGAGAGCCACACACGTAGTAATACGATCTTAATCTGAGCTTCCTAAGAAGAGCTAATTTAGCTCAAAATAAACACCTGAATATTAAACGTAATTATAAAAGTACATGCTGTATATGCAAGAGATGGGAATATTTTCATGATGTATTGTACATTGTTTATCAGATCTCCATGGCCCCTAGCATTATTCTACTACCTTTTCTTGATATAGGCCTGTCCCATTATATGCAGGATTTGCCTTAATCTTCATGCTTACAGGTGGATTGACGACCCCAGCACCATGCGCCTCGCACCTGGGACTCTACATCGTCTCCATCGTTTATGATGATCCAGATGTTTAAGTCTCTTACTAAAGCTACAGGACGTATGAGGTAATAGATTCCCTCACATCACCACCACCACCACACGGTAATGTGTTGTTTTATTATACTTAGTCTGTATAAAAAGAGTTATTACAATATTAAGGAATTTATGGATGATAATATCCCCTGGGAATGAGGTGATCGCTACCAAGGTATTTATAATTTGTTTTGCGTTGTCACATAGGTATATGATTGTAAGCTGTTATCTTTTTTAAAGTCTCACTAAATTCCCTGCTGATTCTACCTAGGACATAGGTATATATATAGGTTTTTCCGAACCAGAGTTAAACAAAACTGGGACTTTCAATAAGTGTAATTTATTATCTATATTGAATTTAAAAAATTCTGTCTCTGCTAGTGTTAATAGCATTAACCTGGTATACTTATAAGAACCACCAGGATAAAATAAAATAATTTCATCTTTAGCGTGCTTTTGGAGTTTTTTCTAACTATAATTTAATTATTTTAAAAATTTGGTACTCACAATAACAAATACAACTCTTTAAAAATATCGGTATCAGATGACAAAAAGATGTCAAAACAGTGTTGTATATTACATCTAACCATTAATTTTACATTCTTGTTTTAAACTGAATTATTGTATTAGGTTTTCTTTTGATCCTGTCATAATTTTCTTTCAATTTACATCTTTAAAAATATATCTCATATAATGTATGATATCACGACTACTTACTATTATATAAATCTAAAACTTAAGTATTTACTTACATTCTTCACATATTTGTTGTTCGATTTTGTCAAGATCTTCATTCTCTTCGTCATCGAAATCAGTTTGCACTGTAGCGTCACGGGTGTAATTTTGAAGTGCAATAACGTCAAATGGCGGACGCTCTCGGTGAGTATAGACATTAACAGGATTGGTACTACACTGCGGCTGCTCTAGAGGATCTCGTGTATCTTGTACTTCATGTCGCGCACGTTTACACGCGGCGCATCCACATAAAGAGCCGCGTACTCGCAGTAGCCACACTAACCCGAACAGCGCCATCCATGTAGTCATGCTGCATCTACTTTGCCTATCATAACACACTTTGTTTACTGGCAGTCACTCACTCATTTTTTCATCATTTGCCCTATAATTTCAATTTCATGTTCCAGTATATAATTTTAATATGTATTTTTTATGATAAGTCCATGGTTGTTTAAGTACACATTTGACTCATTTTTTTATTTCTTGTTTCCTGTATTCTTTACACTGTATTATAACAGATGTCATATTTTTTTGTTTCAGTACACAATTCACGGTTTTATAGTTTCGAAGTAATCTCAAATATGTTTGATTACATTAAAGTACATTTTAATGGTAATTATAATGATAATAATAATTTATTCCAGACCCACATACAGTTCGTAATTATTTTAGTAATTTCCTTAACGTATGTTAGTTTTAAATATAATTAAACACAGTCATTATTAATTTTAATTATCTTCGGCATCTTATGACATCAGACACATGCATGTGCATTTGCATCCAGTGCTCTAGAATGGGACAATCACGTTTATCAGAATGCTATTAGAGCACTCACGAAACTTAAAAAGTGAAGATACGATATGTGTTGTAAAATGTATTCAATTTAATTTATTCGTTAATTCTCGTTAAAATAAATAATGTATATTTGAATTATTACTGTAACACGATTGAATACATATAAAAATAATAATAGAGAAATAGTAACTACATTTTAATAGATGGATGAAAACAAAAAGCAATACGGGCCGCTGACGTACCGGATTGCTGTATTGTTGAAAATAGTAAGTTAGTTGAAAAAGTCTCACTGCCCTGTACATGGTTAACCTGTCTTAATTGGCACCTTCCATGTTGTACTAGTACTACAGATAAACATTCCTACATTGGGTCTTTATCAGTTAAATAAACGCGATAGAATCCGTAAATTTAGTTTTATTCATTATATTAATTAGTCAACAAACTATGTTACATGAAAAAATTAAAATATAACGGATCTATCTGTATAAATAGAAACAGAACGTATACGTCAAATGAATGATGAAATTATTTGGTTGACGTGAGTTTATGTATGAAAAACAGCGTGATAGTAAGTCACGTGAGTATTTAATTATATCCCTGGATCAAATTATTTGTTCAAATTTATGATATCTCCCAACGACATTATTACACATGGATATATTAGAGAGTCAAGTAGCCAGTTATAGCCGCATAACATACGTGGAGAAAGGTACGATGAAATGAATAATGGTGGTAATAAATTGCAGTCTTCGAGTTATAAATGGTAGTCCTTACGGAGAGAGAATCATGAAAGTATCAATTCGTTATAAACGATTCCCAAAATTTAATAGGGCTATATATTTTTATTATAGAACGAAAGGTATTCTTCATAGTTAAAGAAATTAAATAATATTTTCTTTTTGACTTCAGGCAAAGAAAAATATGTAATAAATATATTCAAAAACCTTTATTTGTAATTTTTGCAATAAGTAATTGGAAAAAACTAGCACATTTTTCACCGGATGCTTACTGAATTTTATGGTCTATTGATATCTGCATTTATCATTAAATAAGTGCAGATGCGTTGTAAAGATTGGAATAGTACGTGTATTGCCAATAAACTCCGGTTTTCATTACTCACCCTCTAAAACACATCATAATTATGATATTTTTTAACTCAGTAAATAGATAATTTCTATAAAAACTTAAAAAACGCAGTCATAAGGTTTAATATTGCAAAGCGCCCGCGACGATTAAAACCGCTTAGCAGTTGTCAGAATCCTAAAATATTTAAAAACATATATTGATTTAAGTAATCAAAATAATGAGCAAGTAAATTAGAAATATTGATGTTATGAATATATTTGAGTGATTCTCAAGCAAATAGATTAAGTAATTTCGTTGTAATTTCAACTATAGTGATTTTAGAGGTGTTTTCGCAAATAATTATGATCGAGTCAAAATTATAAAATGTTAAAACAATGGTAAAAATTATACAAAATTAAAAAATACGTGTTTTTGACCAAGCAAAATCAAGATAAAAAAGTGAATTTATAATAATCCATATCAAAATTCTTATTTCGTTACTGGTGTCATAGTCCTATACTATTCGATGAAAGCAAGTGCATTTTTTCCCGGTGTCGCCTTAAAGGCCGGCAAGGCACCTGCAATTCCCCCTGGTGTTGCAGTTGTTTGTGAGCAGCGGTCAATACTTACCATCAGATGAGCCGCATGCTCTTTTCCCCTCTTCTACAAAAAAAATGCTCTGTAGCACGGCTCTACCACGTGACAATATTACTTTATTGAAAAAAAATTAAGGATTTTATCGCGTTTATTTTAACTTTTTTAATTCCCTACGGGCACTTTTCAGCACCAGATTGTTCTAGTTGAACTGAGGTGTTTAACATCCCGATGTCAGTTAATGAAGTCAAATCTACGCAGAACGAGATTACAGTACCTTGAAGTCCTGCAGTAGTATGCTTAGGTTTGGATTTAGTTTTATTAATTATTGGATCCCAAGCAAATGGTAGCGCCCAACCATCTTCTCTCTACTGAAATAAGTTTTTTTTTATAATTTCAATAGCCTCGCGAATCATCTTTGGTAGGTAGATTTAATTTAAAATTTAATCGGTATTCTTTTGCGAGGAGAAGTAGTCTATTAAATCTGATATAATGGTTGGAATGATCCTGAAAATGTTGACATACTGCAAATCTCTCGAAGCGTCTATTCTTCACATCAGCTATAGCTTTAAAACTCATCGTTAAAATTAAATGCAATAAAATCCACAAAATTAGTTTAATTCAAGATGTAGTAGATTCACGTAAATATAATAAATCATATTATTACTTTATTTTTGGCGGATAGCCAGTTTGTGCCCCGACTGGAGAGTTGCGATATTGCATGTCTGCTCCATGTCGGGACAAGTAGTATCTCTGAATGGCGTAGCGTAAGTTATAATTTTCAATATCATCCAATATTTTAAACATCTTCTATGGATTGCAATCAGGATGGCACTGGCAAATTATCAGGTACTTTATGGCGTTATTGGAGACTACTTTCGAGTCGACCTTTTCGCTAACGTAGATAGCGTTTACTAAGCTGATGACACGTTGGTGAGCGCCCACGGAGTCGACTTCGAAAGAGCCAAAAATCTCTCTAATCTATTAGCAATAAAATATCGGTGATTAAAATTCACAATTCTTTCACATAATATTAAGTTATTTTTTTATCAAAATTGTATCTTGTTCTATTCCAAATTTGTATTATATCAATTTTTTATTCCAAATTTGTATTATATTAAATTTGTTTACACACATAACAACATATTAATATCAGCTGGTACTCCACCCTAAGGCCTGCTACTCCGCCGGCGGGTTGACAGCAGTTTGCCAAAATATCGATGTATTTCAACCAGTTCGTCATAAAATAATCATTCATGTAGTAGTTATTGTTGCCTTTAGTGATTTAGAAATAAAAAGTAAAATGGTTGCTACAATTTTATTCGTAGCGGAAATTAAATCAACCTTAAATTAAAAAAAAATGATCTGATTTTAATTCCGATAACCCGTACCTCATTTCCGTAATTAAAGTTTAATGATTTGGTAAAACCTCATAATCTGATAAGTTTTAATTATTTTTTAGTTTAAAATTTTGGTTTTCATTTACATTTTTAACTAAAATATACGTCTCATTAAGAGATGAAATATTTAGTGAAACTTTTAGATCTAACCAATGTTTAAGACATATCATATGTAAAAAGATTATATCGGTTCTCGAAGGTGTGTACTTGGGACCACAAATTATGGTCAGTAGCAGAGGGCCGTGGTAGCTCACATGGTTAGCGCTCGCTGTAAATTTCACAGTACGCGAGCAAACCGGGTTCGACCCCCGCCGGCACCAATGAAATTGTTAATTGTAATTTTAAGTGCTGATTTACCACGTGCTCGGCGTTGAAGGAAAACATCGTGAGGAACATACCACAGAAATAAGACATAACATGTCGAAGACATGTGAAGTTCGCCAACACGCTTTGGGGCAGCGCGGCGAACAATTCCTTACCCTAAAACCCTCTCAGAAATGAGCGGAGGCCTGTGCGCAGGAGTGGGACGTATATAGGCTGTAACTGTACTTTACTTTTTACTTTACTACTAGAGGGCAAGCCCGAGCCTGTTCACGACCAACGAGGTAGCCAAATGCCAAAAAATGTTGTATTCAGACCGAGATAGTAGTTACGTCTATAACAATCTAAACTGTAATCCCATATTATTTTATTTTCATGCTTACATTTCCCCTTCACCTGTGACAGCGTCAAGTTTTCTTTCTACCGAATAAAGTGCTTTTAAGTAGTTTCCAGTAAACTTGTGTACTAAAATCAAATGTTTAAGGTTACGCAATTAGTACCGATTAACTCCTCATACCCTACCACAATAAGCTTCGAATGAAGAAGATTATCAGCCAGTGGAATGAAAATTATATGTTTTTATTTTCTCATACTGCTTTATATTTCTGTGTATAATATAATATTATTGTATACTTATAAATAAAATTGAATCTTCTGTCTGTAATGTTGAAACAACTGGATTCTATTAAGTGCAGAGGGTTATTTTCATGTGCATGCTACTAAGACGTAAATAAACATTTTTAAAAATGGCAGGACCGGCAGGATTTTGGAAGGAAACTTTACTATCAGATATAGAGCAATGTTAGGATATATCTAGGCTATGTTTCATAAAAAAATTAAAGATTTTTTTAAAAAGACAATTTGATATAATAAGTAAGATATTCCAAAAGCTGAACAACGCCCCATTAATAAAGCCTACCCAGGCAAAGTTGGGGCGGATCACTAATACATAATATTAATCTAATATATTTTTGTTACACGATAAACATGTGCATTATAGTATAATTTTTCGGTGAACTTCTGACTGTTTGTGTAAGAATATCGCACGGTTGAGTAATTACATTATACGTCACGTGTCATTTCATCTTCTGTGATTTTATTATTTTGTTATATTTTTTGCCCTATTGTTTGCCA